ATTTGAGTATATTAGACACGCTTTGACAGGTTGTACATATCAATATGTATCCCATGTTTTTTGTTTGACTGTGCATTCCATCTCGTGTCCCTTATCAGTAACTACAGCATACACTCAATTCAGTAATAGGTTTCTTCTAAGTTACTACTAGACTGCTATTAGCATCAACCATCATAAGAAAGTAAAGTTCTTTTTCTAATTTATGCAACTGACTCCCCTCAAAAAATTTATGTAACTGACAGAATGGGAAGGCAAGCCTTGGAGATGCAATATATCGCGGTATAACAGTGGATGTGTTTGATCCTGAACAATTCCTTCAATCGATAGACTTGTCAACAGAGCACAAGGTGGTTGATCTCAAGAACAGAATAGAGGCATCCATAGTCATTTGGAAAAGAAAGATGCAAAACAAAGAAAGCAAATCTTCTTGGGGTTCAGCTGTGAGTCATGAGAAAAGAGAGCAGTTTGAAGAGAGAGCAGAGACTATTTTGCATCTTATTAAGCATAGGTTCCCTGGGATTTCTCAGTCTACACTGGATATTAGCAAGATCCAATTCAACAAGGTAAGCGATGTTAAATTATGAAGAAAGATTATAGTTATATTCTTCTTCTTTTGCTTTCTTCTTTGGGAGAACGATAAGAAATCTCCATTCACCTATATCTAGTATTTTAGGAAACTGTCTCATTAACAAAAAGTTAAAGAGTTATGACTTATAAGTGACTCTACACTGTAATCGTAAGGGCGGGGTATCTATAACTAACTTTTTTTTAATCTTCCTAGTTCCCCTAATCTAAGAGAGAAAGAGATTAAACCAATGGATCCTAAAATTTTCCCTACTTCTTCTCTTCTAGATCAGACCCAAAGTCTAGTTTTAAATAATAATAATAATAACCATTGTGCAACTGTGAAAATGGCACCTGAATAAAGTTTGAAAACACCCTCATCCATAGATTCTGAAGTGTAGTCATCTGTCTAAATGCAAAACAAAACTCCATTACAAAACTAAGATTTTCATGAAGGGATTTTTGTTGACTATATTAGAACAGGGTTTTAGTTTTATAAAGATGGTTTCTTTAATTTTGATGAACTTTCTATAGGATGTTGGCCAAGCTGTTCTTGAGAGCTACTCAAGAATTCTAGAGACCTTGGCCCACGCAGTAATGACAAAAATCGAAGATGTCCTTGACGCCGACGCCAAAGCCGTGGACCCCACCCATGACAGAAAGCAAGTCCATACAGAACCAATAAAGAAACTGGATCCTAAAGAAGAGCTCGAGAAGCTCAACAACATGGACCCACCAAACTCAATGACACTCTCTGATTTCATGGGATGGCATCTGGATCAAGATGCCGATGCAGAGAAGAAGGAAACAGGTGGTACTGGGGAGAGTGACGGGAACTCCTTGAAGAAGCCTCCTAAAGTTGCAACTCACAAAAAGTTTTCTTATATAGAGAAGCTTGAGAACTTGGGAGGGTTAAGAAGTCCAACAGCTCGCCATTGATAGATGATAGTAAAAAAAAAAACTGTATATAGAATTGAAAAGGTACACAAGAAGCTTGATGCTTGTTGTAAAATGATTGAAGTGCTTCTTTATTCTCAAGTTGTTTGTGGGTATAGAAAGTGTTGTTTCTGTGCTGATGCTTGTGGTGATTGTTATATCTGTTAATTTGCTTTGAAGGTTATAATCATCTACTAATCCTGACTGAGAAGTTCCTACTCCCAATGAGTACAATAATATAATGCAATGAATAATGTGATAAATGACAATGCCATTAATGAGTACCCTTGCATGTATTTTCTAAAGACCTGATCAGTTCTTGGATCCAAATAACATGTTGTTTCTATTTTTCTTTTTCCTTTTTCTTTTTCTTTTTTTTTCTAGGCCTCTTGATTGGACTTGTATATACTTAAACTGAGCTGAGTTTTCACTTTTAGTATAAACCCCTAATCCCTACACTGTCTCTTTGGTGTGTTTGGGAGATGACTAAGGTAAAGGAAGGAAAGGAAGGGAAAATTTTCCCCTTCCCTTCCCCTTCTTTACCCCCAACTCGGGGGGTAAGATTTTAGTTCAATTTTCCCTCTCATTCCCCTCCTCTACACTTTTAAATGGAACTCCCAAACAAAGGCAAACCAAAATTTCCCTTCCCCTTCCCTACCCTCCATCCAAACAAGCTATAAAACATCCCCTTAAAAATCAGTCTCTGAAAGTTACTCTGTTTTTTATTTTACTTTTAAACAACCACACCCCATCAATTTCCGCCTATCTGTTACAATATCACCTATGATCCCAGAACTGGCTACATGCTCTTTTACCTGAATATCATCCTTAATCCCACTTTTGTAGTTCTATGCACAAATGACCAAGATCCATGCTTTAACTTGATTACATGTCAACCTCCAAACCATTTCTATTTCGAATCCCAAATATGCACCTACTTCTTTATCACGCTTCCTTTAGCAAACTTTAGCACGTTAAGACCGTCATCAAGGCTGGAGAACGGGTTGATAGGGTCATACTTGAATAAAACATTCCTCCAACTATCCTTAGTCAACTTATGAATGGAAATGAGCAGCGGCTATCACCTATGCTGCCCTATCTTTATAAATGGTTGACATCCACTATTAACAGAACCATACTGGTGATACTAGGGGTGGCAAACGGGTCGGGTCGGGTCGGGTCGGGTCGGGTCATAGTTTACCCGACCCGTATAAGTGTGACCCGACCCGACCCGTTTAATAAATGGGTCAATGTGACCCGACCCATTTATTAAACGGGTTACCCGACCCGACCCATATAACCCGAATGACCCGTTTAATAACTTAAGGGTTTTTTTCCGGCCAAAATACAACTTGTAATATATAAATGACAGAGAAACAAAAAGGAACGTAGAAAAGATGAAATTTTATTATAAATTCATGAGAAACCCGAGAAACATAGATTTTTTATCAGTAAACATATCATGATGATTATGCTAATTGCTCATGCACTTAATGATAATGAGCAGACATCTTTAGGAGGCTGAGTATCATGCTTAGAGCATTGCAAGATGTCACACAACACACATGCATGAGAAATTAAGCTGATAGGTAGAAATCATACTCAATTAATGCAATATATTCAGAGTTGAGAAATCGCCAGAAGCACTAAATTTAACCAGTTAGATTTTATCCAGAACCAACATTGTTCAAACTTGCACATAAAAAATGTAATGGTTATGAAAACTCTCAACTTAATCAAAACACCAAGTTTAAATACAAAAAATCCTGATAAATAACAGAAGTTAAATTTTTCAATTTAAAACAAAAACAAGCTTACCAAATTGATACAAAGAAATTGATCCAAAGAAAGCAAACAGAAAACATCAAAATAATAGCAAACTTGCCAAGGTATTAACACAAAAAGGGCCAGGAACAAAATCACAACACATACAAAGTACTAGCATAAAGATCAAGTAACAGAAAAAAGTTCATTAAAGCACACCTCTCTAGACATAGTTTTATCAGTAACAGATAGCAATTTCCCTGTTCAGCTATAGCAATTATAACATGAACAAATTTTTGTAAAAGTGTGGCCTCAACAAAAAAATTACATGCACTAAGGTGTTCAAACACAAGAACTAATTACAGACAATATTATTTACACAAAAAAAATTACAACAGTAACAAACTTCTGCTCCTTCACAAAAGCCAAGAACAGGTGAATTAGCAAGCACAAACTCGATGAGCTTAAGTTCAGATGTGATGCCGCTGAAGTCAGTCACCTCCACAACTTTGAGTTGACTAAATGTGCAGTTGAAACTTTCTTCTTCTTCCCAAAAGCCATCAGATGATATTGTGGCGATTTTCTTGTCTGAGATAGCCTAAAATAGGCATGAATAAATGAATAATTAGAACTTTACAACAAAAAAATCAAGGAGCATGTTCCTTTATAACAAAAGCTACTCTTCAACAACAATACTGTCGATCTGACCTTGAAAGCAAATACAACACACACGTCGTCAATATAATCACCGGACGAAAAGAAACCAGTCGCTGCTCAATTAATGCAATATACAGTCTGCTAACTGTAAAATATATAATGAAAAGAAAGCACAGAATTTAAAGGACGTTGTTATTTGTTTTCCTCAAATGAAAGATGAGAGAAGCTTACTGAAGGACATTTCTTTTTCTCACATATGTGAAGAACCCTCATACAACTTCATTATGGACGGAAAACATTATATTCTGACACATCCAAATACATATTTAACAAGAGAACCGAGTAACTGCCATGTCAAGTTGATCCCTGCTGCAATATAATGTCCATGACATGTGCGCTTGTAACTACATTTGACAATGGAACAAGCTAGCTTTTTCCTTAGCGCCACAAAATATAAAGTAAGCCAAATTGACAACAAGGTTTTAAACAAAGTAAAATATGTCAGCTTCCATCAAACTCCCAGTTAAATTTCACAATCAATGTGGTGACTTACTAATTACTAAAACCAATTAGTATTTAGCCAGTCGAATATACATCATTTTCTCACTAAATGATCATCAAAGACAAGCATTGCCTCCTATTGAACAGTAGTTAGATGGGTAATAATTTATTGTTAACTACATGACCTTCAAGGTACCATCCTAGGAAATATTATCAAGTTATGCCTACACAAACTATACAACCTAAAGTGAACATGCTGAGTGGTAATCATAGGTAGTTATGCTTTAGGATGCAGGAAAAGTAGACACCATGCTGAAAATAAAGGGAGGCAGGGGAGCAATAGCATCAAGCACCAAGAAATTTGATTCGCAGATGTGCACTAAAACAAGTTTCATTTCCCCCTGACATTGCAGAGTGCAAGTGCATGAACTAAACAACCTAGGAAGTGTGACCACAACTGATCAGACGTAGATGCATATAATACGTACGTGGTCACAACTGATCCTGGAATTAGACTCCATTAACTGTATTGAAAATTACAAAACTACATAAGATTCATAAAATTAAATAAAATTCAACAGATAACACAAATTCAGCAAAGCAACACTTTAACCGAATAAAGAATCCCTGCCTGTCACATAACTACTTAGTCAGTACAAACACAAAAGGAAATAGTACTTTAAGACTTTCATCATCTTTCTTATTGCATTAAGAAAACAACTTCCTTGTACAAAATGCAACCATAAGTTGCAACCAAAGAGTACTCTGAACTAATCCAAATAATATTCCCAAATTCAAGAGTCTTACCTAACCCAGCTTAAATCATATATCTTTCACCAACTACCCTTTACCAGCTTCAACATGAAGAAATAGTACTTTAAGACAAGAGAACCAGGTCAAAGTCTTCACACATATATACTTATTTAATGAATAAATATAGTTTTCCCTCAACTCAGCCATTAATCATGTCAAATTGTCTTAACTAACTGAAAAATTAGTGCCGTGTGCTTGTTTCGTAGGCTGTTTCTGAAAATTAAAAATACGAAAAGAACAATATATGGTACAAAAAGAATCACTAGATCATAGACTCCCCAAAATTCAACAGATCACAAATTGGGCAATAAATGAGCATGAATGAAACCTTAGAAAGAGGAATAGATTATCTATGATCAAATTAATTTACATGAAAGCCAATGATCAACTCTGGAAACGGAACATTTGAGCTTGAATCAAATTAATTTAAAGAAATTTGAGCAAAATGAAAGAAACCTAATTTTGATGAAGCTTAGAGAGAGAAAGAGAGAACTTACAGAATTGATCGAGCTCGCCGTTTGTCGCCGCTCGTCGCTCGGCGTCACTCGTCGTCACTTTTGATGAAACGACGCCGCTCGCCGTCACTCGTTGTCACCTCTCGCCTATCGCCGCCGCTCGCTCCTTTGTGTTATACGGGTTAGGCGGGTCAACCCTAACTTACCCATCTAATAAATGGGTCAGTTAGGGTTGACCCGTTTATGACCCGACCCATATAACTTGACCCATATCCAATATAAACGGGTCGGGTCGGGTCGGGTTGATGGGTCGGGTCAAAAACTGCCACCCCTAGGTGATACCCGAGATACAGGTAGTACAAGCTAGCTAAGTTTGTGATTTTCTCATTGCCATAATTAAGAAGCAGCATTTCTCAGCCTTAAATCTTCCTTAAGGATACAATTATTTCAAATCAACACTGTATTTCCTGACGTAGGATCTACTCAAATCATGGAAATGAGCAACCAAGAAGTCCTGATTTTGTTATCTCCTTGGAGCTTTGCAAACTAAACACAATTTTCTTTTGCAAGTAACTAAATGAGCAGTTTTTTAAGCTCAAAAACTGGTTATAAATTACCTTTTTCTTTTTGGAGGAAGTAAAAGCCAACGGCCCTAAAGTATACTATCATAAATAATATCAAACAAAATCTACAGGCATGAATTTGCAATCAATTGGGCTAAGGCTGTGTTTGGGAACTTGGATTTGGGCATTGGATTTAAAATCCAGGGTATTTCAAATCCAAATCTCTTGTTTGGGCCTCAAATTGGACTGATATTTTAAATCAAATGATTTTAAAAAGGTGATTTTGAAAGCCCAAATACAAGTATTTGAAATCCCACCCTCACCCTTGGTATTTACCAAATCCAGATCCGGACGTCGACTCCTCTCTCCTATATCTCAGTCCCCCGATCCCGAATCCTCCTCAGTGTCGGGATCTCTCTTCTCGTTTCTCAGTCGTGATCTCAAATCTCTCTCAACGCACGCAGGTATCTCTCCTCTCTCCTCTCTCCCCTTCTCCTCTCTCGTCGAAACCCTAGATCTGATCTAGGGTTTTGGTCTCCTCCTTTCTCCTCTCTCTCCCCGTTCCATCGAACCCTACATCTTCACGAGATCGAATCTCAAAGCAAAGATTTGGTTCGGATCTGAAATCTCCGTCGTCCGAGATCCGACGGCCCGATGATTCGCTCGGATGGAACGGGGAATCATCATAGAGCTCAGCAACTAAACTTGGCTGGATCTTGAAATGGGGAAGAGAACGATCTTTCTCCTTCCCAATGTTGATCTCCTGCTCGTAAGTTTCAGCCTTCGCTTGCACCCTCCTCTTCACCTTCTCTTCTACCGATTTGTATGTTAGAATCCTCATGAGCTCTTCGCTGTCTTGTGAGTACTCAGACGAGGAAAGAATTAATTAGGAAACACCACAGAATGTACAAGCTTAATTTGGATCTAGAAGATGACTGAAAATGAAATTTGTTACTTGGGCTTTTATGGTTTTTTCATAGGCACCAGGATTTTCTCTGAACTTCGCTTCGGCGACAAATTTTCCGTAGTGTATTCTCTTTGATAAGGCCTGCAGTGTGAAAATTACAAAAGTTCATTTTTCCTTTTTTTGTAAAGAGGTAGAATAGATTGGATTTTGATGTGCACACCTGCAGGCAAATTGCATCGCACACGGCACTGGAACTGTAGTTGCCATCTTCACCATCTTCCACCAACTTCGGAAGCAGATTACTAAAGTACATCGCCCATATATTCTTGTTTATATTAATCGAACGGGCTACAAGGTGCAACACCTAATCCACACGGATAAACCTTTAACCATCATGTACAACCATCATCACCACCAAAACGAAGCCACTATTTCATAGTTTTGGCATTTGGACATATATGGATTATTTTTTTCTTTTTTCCAGCTCTATTAAGGATTACCTACATTAGCTTTACATATACATGTTTCAATTACCATACTTCATGTTTGTTTCAGTTGGCCATACTTCGTGTTTGTTTCAACTGTCTCACTATGCATAAACATGATTTCCTCCCCGGCACAGGCACTATGAAGTTGTCTTGAATTTCTGAATCATAGAGGCTTATGAGCAAGATACCTCAAGACACATCATTTTTCTTTCATCCTCTTTGACTGTTGAACCCCATGCTCCATTGTCTGATGAGTTTGTTTTGGTCTCTCTTACTTATGAGGTATTCAGATTCAAGCACAGAAGTGACTTGGTAATATATTAGCATTTTATGAGTTACTGAACAAGAATTTTGCTTCTTGTGTGTCATTGGATATCTATGCGGTTGGTTCAATATATTAGCATTAAGGACATTTTTGTTTATAATTAATTGAGCGTTATTTCCTCCTGAGTGTTGAACGATGTCACTTACAAGATTTGTTTATGATTTATATCTTGGTATGTTCTGACATGTTCATACTTATTTGCTTGTGATGCAGATAATGCTGTGGTTATTGTGAATCCAAAGGGGGAAATGAAAGGTATATGTCTATATCCTTTTCCCATGGATTATCTATTTTTTAACCATCTCAACATCAAACTCTATTTTGTACATGCATTGTTGTTTGTAGTGAAAACTGTAATGCATAAATTTGTTTTTGCTTCTTTATCTAATATATATCAATCAATGTTTTCTGCTTCTTTAGGATCTGCAATTACTGGACAAATTGGAAAGGAGTGTGTTGATTTGTGGCCTAGGATTGCTAGTGCAGCCAATGCCATTGTGTAATATCCAGATTTTTCTTCAGGTGTCAGTGAGGAGTAGTAGTTTCATGTTATTTGTTATTGAAAAGGAAAGAGAGTTTTTCAAATATGGATTCATATTTGTATTGGATCTTTTTGTTTTCCCGTGACGTACATATATTGGAATTGATATTCTGGGATACAGCTGATGGTAGCATTGTTTTCTTTTTGTTATGAAATTAAATGGTGATGGTTTGAAGATGATATTGATTCATATGTTGGATATTATTGTTGAAAATTTATTAATAAATAAGCTATTGGAAAATTTGAAGATATTTTGTCAAACTTCTTAGGCGGCATCCTAACTTTTACCTCAACATAAACCTTAATGTCCGCATAATGATTGAGGAGTTAAGAGAAAGCATAAATTTTCTTAAAACACAAATTATGAAATCCAAATTCATGTATAATAAAGTGTATCCAAACACTATATTTCAAATCATTGATTTCAAATCATTGCATTTTGTAAAGACACCCAAACAAAAGATTCTATCAAATCATTGATTTCAAATCCTAGATTTAAAATCCTTTGATTTTAAATCAACATTCCAAATCCAAATCTTAGTTCCCAAACGTAGCCTAAAAGAAAATTATAATGGAAAATTGTAAAGTATGATAATATACAGTGTTTATGACTACAAAAAAAAGTAATAGAAAAGGGAGGTGCAAAATAGTTATGAAGATGAGAGTTCTAAGAGAGGGACTCACTGCTGCAACATTTGGTTAGCAAACCCACAGAGATATATTGTGTCAGCTCCCCAATTACTGTGGTCTAAACACTTGAACACAGTACATAGTTTCCCAGAAGGCAATCTCGAAAGTCTTCTTTTTTCCTTTCCAAAATCGGAACAATCAGGCATTTCCGCACAAGAGCATTTAAGAACACCATGTACATTCCATGCCTGCAAAGATTAAACATGAATATCATTGCAGCAAATAGGAAGGTAGATATCCCCAATGAAAATAGATTGCCAAACAGATATAAAAAATACAAACGGAAAACCATGAACCTAGATCCCCACATTAAAAGCGCAAACTAGGGGATCTAGATTATGAGCAAGAGAAAGATATAGAGCATTACATCAAGACTGGAGCTCACCTCAAAGTCACTGAGACTCCACAACAGTATTAACCAAAAGGCTACACCAGCAGTAAGACTAATGTTGACCTACAGTTGTAGCCACATTACAAGCCAAGGCAACTCCTCCTAGGAAAAAAACAATTAGAAGAATGCATAGATTGTTCAGACTCTTGGTATGATTAGGGAACATCATGACATTCACTATATCAACTAAACATGGAAATGCCAGTGCATCTGAGCATGCGTGCATTCATTTACGTGTGTGGATGGGTGTGTTTATGTGCATGTGTGTGTGTGAGGTCATAATAGTTTGTGTTACCCTTCAATAGGCTAATATCTTTAACCCATCCAAGTTATCATTTTTTCAAATGACATTGGTAAAACTACAATGTCCCAAATAAACAAATTACATTTGTCACGCACCGAAACTGCAACGGAAATTCATAAATGCATGTTACGCGGCAGCAACGACCCATGCACAAGACAAGTCTTATGCACGAGTTAAGCCTGACACTTCATATCACATAGTTTATCACAAAATATTATAAACCTGCTGATGATAGAAGTTCAGAGCAACTATATTGTATATAATCGGTACTTACAACCCATAAGCTCACCGTTATAAGCAATTTACTAAATAAAGCACATTGTCGACTGTAAACAAAAAGGAGGCTTTTCATATATCACCTCTCAGCAAAGCACCACAACCAAAAATTCGGCTATTATGCAGCGACACCAAATCTGAAAATTTTTAAAACAGCAGGGTGAGCTAGGACTCAGTGAGAATATTTTCACCAAAGTTCCTAGATAACTAACAAAATAATAATATAACTCCCAGAAATAACAAATTATAAGTTTTGCACTAGAGATTTAAAAATAGCAAAATACGATCCAAAAATCGTAATATTGTCATCTTCAAGAAAAATACAACAATTATATATTTTTTTCTTATGTGCAACTGAATATACTGTAATATTTTCTAGAATCAGACTCTTTTTTGAATCAAAGTAAATATTAAGAAAGAAAAAGAACTACTAAATTGTACAAAACAAGAGGATTATTATTTTCTCAATTTCACAGTCAATTGTTAGAATCCGAAATCTCGACGAGTCATTCGTGAATATGAAAATCACCTCATAGGTCACACTAAGGCTACGAATTAAAGCCCAGTAGCATGGGAATGTGTAAAACGCATCACATAACAGATAATTCCCGAGAATCGAATGCACCTATCACTGCCATAGGTTACTGACCAAATATAAAATGGCCAGAATAAATTTTAGAAGGGCCAATACAGAAGGGCCAAATAAAGATGCATTCACCATATGGCAGGCATAATCATTCCATAGTAGACTTTTTGAGGGTTTAAAAACATCGAGAATCACTTGTCAAATCAGAAATATCTTGCTTATCAGAATTTACAAAATATTTTCAAATAAAGTAGACGAGAGTAAAACTCATCATCCTAGTTAAAACAGTTTACGGATTTTACTTTTCTAAACTTTTATCAGATACTAAGCCACAGAAAATCTTTGAATCCATTAAATTGTCGAAACACATTTAAACTATTTTTTTCTTCAAAAGCTTTCAAATAAAGCAATACCCGCAATTATTTAAAATCGCACGAGAACCAAATTCATTTTTCATAGTTCTATAAATTCAAATTAATTTTTCATATTTTATACGAAATCAACATCATATTATGGCTTAGGCCACAACAGAAGTAGATCAAACCACCTTTAACTTTATATACATGAAAATAATATATTATTTATTTTTCGATCACAAGATAAATCAAAAATAATACTCATGCAATTTCATACTGTAAAATACTAGTGAGAAATGAACTCACCTCTAGATGATACTTCTTCAAAATATTACTCCCCTGGGTATCACCCAGATCCTATAATATAAGATATAAGACTAATATTAATTCATGACAATACATATTATAGGTTAATCAATTCATAATCTAGAGCTAATAATTTCAAATATAATCAATAACAATTAAAATCTATAAATAGGGTATATATGAGTTTATTGCTAACTTATGATAAGGTAGGGGGTTATAGGTAATTAATCCAGCCCAAAACTTATCTTTTATTCTTCAGATTGGACTTGTTTGTAAACAAAGCAAATAACAGGGGTATATACGTAATTATCCTGTTCATATATGATCTTAGATTCATCTGTTAGGGTTTATTTATAAATCTTTGTGGCTTTTAGGGACTTAGAATAAATTATTAGGTCACAACTCTCTATCCCAACTCAAGAGGGTTTATTAGCAAAGTTAAAATAACCTAGGGGAACTTGATAAATTTTCCTCCCTTTATATTGTTAATATCTGATCTTCTTCATCCTTTCTTTCTTTTCCTTTTTTTTCTTCTGTTCCTCTTCTTTCTCTCTCTCTCTTTTTCCAGCTAGATCGTTTGAGGCTCTCTCTCTCTCTCTCTCTCTCTCTCTCTCTCTCTCTCTCTCTCTCTCTCTCTCTCTCTTTCTTTCTTTCTTTCTCATTCTCGCCATGGCGGTAGGAGGGCGACAGGGGATCGATGGCGACCAAGAGCGTCCGGCGGCAAGACTCCCGCCGGATCTACGGTTAGTAACTTTTCTTTTTCTTTTTTTTTCCAGTCCATCACATGCATCTTAAACACATAAACAAATTCTTTTGCAAACCCTAGTTTTTTTAACTTCATAATCATAACAAGTTATCATCCTCACTCATTCTATTTTTAATTCGATTTACTAAGATTTACTGTGAAATATGAAAGTGGATTATACCCTTAGGATCCTGATTTGTTGCCGTAATCTTCGTTTCTCCCTTCACAATCTTTCTCTAGCTCACAGAGGGTTTGGTTGAGGATGAGAGGGTATATATATATATATATATATATATATATATATATATTTCTGTTTTATTCCTCTGTTGAGG